CTCTCTCCCTCTCCATCTCTTCTCTCCTCGAAACGCTCTCGTCTTTCTGTCTCGCCTGTGCTGCTCGAGACCGGCCAGGCTATTCACCCACGCATGCACGAGATGACGATGACGATGACGCCGACCGCTCGCCGCTACAACGCGTACACTGTGAGCGCTCTTTGCTCTTTCGTACGTTTCACGGGATCAACGTGTTCGTCGAGGATAAAAAAAAAGAAAAGGAGGAAAAACGCAACCGATCAAAATTCCACACCGGTCGTCATGTCTAATCTCGCGATTTCTGATCATGATTCCGACTAGTTTGATCTATCGGTTGCACCTTTTTGCTCGAACCGCGAGCAGAGAGACGAGTTTTTTCGTCAGATCGGTTCGGAAAGATCGATGCTCGATCGAGAGACTTCTCATTGCTCACGATTTTGCTGGCCTTGCGATCTACGCGACTGACATTGGCACATTGCGATTGCACAGCCCCGCTGACCCAGATTCCGCCTCGGTTATTTTTTCCACGCTGTCGGATTTTTTTATCTCTGTTGTTTCGAGCATCGCCAGCTACGTCTCGACGACATCGTCTCGCGAATATTTTCCAGCTCCATCATGGAGCCGAACTTTCCATCAGTCTCCCCTTTGAATTTGGAATTTCCACTAATCGACAGTTATCCCGATGGCAATGAAAATGAATTTCAATCGACATCGTTGAAAAATGATACACGCGAAAGAAGAAACGTTGGGAATGGATAGCGGTTAAACGGGCCGAAAGGTTTCGAGATGGCGGTCGTTCGGTGAGAAGGGGTTCCAGATGATGTTCCGGTTGCCGGTCGGCCGGCAGTAGTCGTGGCCCGGCCGGATCCTGACCTACGACTACGTGCACCAGGGGAGCAGGCGAATTTTGTCCGAAAGTCAACGCGAACGAAAGAGCGGATTCGCAGGCCTTCGAGGTCACGATGTTGCAGTGGGGATCGGCGTCGGAGGGACTCGAAGAGGGGGTCCGAAGAAGGTGGTGGATATGGGCGAAGAGCCGAGGGAGTAGGAGAGAGAGTCGATGGAGGATACGGTCTGGCGGAGGAGGACCAAGCGACATGCTAGAAAGAGGAGCGCGAGAGCAACGTGTAGCCAGTGAAGAAGAAGAAGCAGAAGAAGAGGAAGAAGAAGAAGACGAAGAAGAAGAAGAAGAAGAAGAAGAAGAAGAAGGGGGCTGATCTACCGGCAATATACACACAGAGCCGCACAGACCACGGCAAAACTCCACAGTTTTGCTGTTCGATTTTGCAAACTTATATTTAGAAGGGCAACGATCTTTTGCCGCGGCAGCTCCAACCAGAGGAGAGGAAAGATTCTGGGATACGCGCGCGGTCTCTCTCGTGACCGGCCGCTGAGATTTCTCAACTCTCCACAGGCCTACCAGTTTATCCATCTATCCTCCTTTCGCATTTTCCACCTTTATCACCACCCTTCGATGAAATTTTCTTTTCATTCGAAACGAACGATAGTCGGATTCTAGGCATTTACAGACCGACGACCACGAGAATTAATGGCAATCGCGTACACGTCACGTTTCCAGATTGTAATAATTACTGGTGACGCGTGGGATAACGGTTTGTTTAATGAGTTTGCTACGGTACAGACTGATTCTTAATCGCCCGGCGTACCGTTTCCAGGGGGTTATAAGCACGAAAAACGTAACGAAAAGCGCGTATAGATTTTCATTCTCAGAACGTTAACGTTAGGTAGCGATAGGTGCATCGTCTCGCGGATTCTGCGATAAGAATTCATCGGAACGAGGTCGAATTCGGAATCGCGACGAGCCTCGTCGCGAAAACTTGTCGAGGGAAAAAGCGTACGGATGTTTTGGAATGCACGAACGTAGCGCATGACCACCGCCCCTGTGCGAACCTAATCTTATCGTGGAAAGAGCGATGTGACGAACGCGAGTGCAAAACGGCGCGGAGTCAACGAACGATAAAAAAAAAGCGCGTAGCCATACACGCGACACAAAGAATAAACTCTGTTCCGCGCTGCACTGGCCCTCCCTTTTTCCTCTCTCCGCTGCACTCGACGCGATGCGCTTCCATCTCTCTCCCGCTTCTCTTCCTCTCTTCATCCGCGTTGCAGCTCTTGGCGGTCGTGTGTGGGCGCGTGAGCCTCCCTCCTCGCCCTTCGCCGTCCATCGCTTTCAGCCACGCTCTTTTTCTCCTTCTTTTCCTCGTGGACCGCTTAGGGTAGGTCATGGCGGTACCGCGCGAGCGAATGACGACGGAGGCGAAAAAAGAAGAGGAAGAAAGAACCGTACGCCGCGAGTCGCGAGTGTGCAACGTTTCGTCGGCGCACGACTTTGTAACGCGTACCTTTTCCCTTCTACTTTGTTCGACCACGTTTTTGACGAGTTATTTGTCTTTGGATTACTAGATGGTAACAATTTCCATGAATTTCCACGATATTTCTTGGCGAGCTACGCTCCTTACAGGGATCTTTTAGAAATTTCTGTATTAACCTCGGACTCGAACGGATTCGCCCACAGTTTCACCGAAGATCGAACAATTCGATTAGGAGGATCTTAACAGCCGAAGCGGGGCCGGCGTTATTGTTAGCGATCATGCGATCTGAAAATCATAGAAAATTACTGAAAAGCCAGGAAAGTTTGCGCTACGTTCTGAACCGGGCAGAAGGTACGGTTGCCCGTGGACTTGAGATGTCGTAATTTTGCCTTCGCCATAACGGCTACAAGGCACGGAAGTTCCCTGCCCCTCTCGCCCGACCTTCTTCTCTCTTTCATCCTCTCTGCGTTTTCTTCTTCGATTCGAAACACAGAGAAAGCAGCTCGCCCCTTCTTCGTAATAGTAGAAGGGTTAGTGAAACAATGGCACGTGCGCGAACACCGTTATTTAAATAATACGATGGAACCTCAGCCGGGGTTGAAGGCAAAAAAACTTGCGCTCAAGGGGATGCGAAACCGAACGTGAGAAAGACGCGTGGTTCCGTGAGAGAAATCTACCGCTTGCTTCCTCGTCATTTTTACTTCGAATCGAAAATTCATTTGACTATAGAAAAATTTCTGTTGATTATTCGTGAAAATCTGTTAATGTATCGAACGATACGCGGTCGAAGATTCTGCGGGTATCGATCGAGAACGCGTTCAAGTTCTTCTTCGCCTTTGTCTTCCCCCCTGTACCATCGTCTTCTTCTTTTCCCCGTGGCGCAGTTCCGGTTCTCGCAGCTGTCGTCGTCGATTCAAAATCGAGACGGTGGATCGGTCAAGGGTAAGCTGGATGTGTTGGTAACGTTACCTTCGACGTCGAACCGGTTTAAAGCCGGGGTGAACGAGAGATTTAGAGGGAAAGAGTTGGGCGCAAAAAATTCATTTGAATCGCCGGAGGGTCGTGGAGCAGAGGTGTCGAAATAATTGGATTTTAATTTTCAAGCCGGTGAAAGAACAAAACCGCTCTCTCCTCCGTTGATCGACAGCCATGAGAATCACTCGGCAACGAGTGTTTATACAACGTTGCACGGCATTAATGTTTTTCGACTTTCCATTTTATTTCTCGCCCTTTGTTTTCCCACGATTCGTACCGTTTTATAATTGTCCGGGCAGCGAGTTCGATGGCGTTCGTCGACGCGAAGAACGATCGTTAATCGTTATCGATAATCGCGTAAACGATCGGGTAAATTAGCAAAGGGGGTGCGCAGGCAACGACTCGGCGGTAATATTTTATCAGGAATACAGGGTAACGGTACTCTGTTTCGACGGAGATACGCGGCCGGAGGAGCTTCACAAAGGAGGCGAATGTTTTAATTAAATCCCTGCAAAACGTGAAAACTTTGCCATCGTGCGGCGTTTTTGCGATTTTCCGAAAGTTTCGCCTCGTCCCGCGACTCGCTTTCAAGGTGGCGATGGACGAGACGGGGGTGGTACAGTTTCTAACCACCTATTTTCCACCTTTCCATTTCCCCTCCCTTACTCTTTCTTCGCAACCCTCGCAGTAGTTGGTGAGAATAAAAGAAGTGGGAAAAACAAAAGAAAGCTACGGCTACTTAGCGAAACAAATTGTTGTTTCGTACTCGGGACGAGAATTTAAAAGTTTCCGCGAGCCTTTCCTCTACTCCCTGTTCTACCTTACTTTCCACCACTTCACCCCTTCTTTCTCTCTGTCTCTCTATATCTACGGTTTAATTTCTTTCTTCGTCACTCGTCGGGCATGCCGTTGTTTCGAGGCAAACGATAGTCCGACTGGATTCACGGCTCGTTAGCGGTGCTTCCTTTCCCTTCATTTCGGTGCTGCCTCGTAAAAGGACAACACCATATACGCGAAGACCGCTACTATCGATCGTGACGGACTGTCCCATTAAATCGGTTACATCGTGCGTGGAATACGCGTATGGAACAATTAAACGCGGTATTGTCCCGCGGGGTATCGAGGTAGGTACCGTTCCTCGAGACGTTCCGTTCTCCGTCTACCTGTTCTCTCGTCCGTTGTCTATCACGAAAATTTTCCGCTTATTGTCTGCTCTTCTGGTGAATTGCAAGATCGTTCTCGAACCGCTACGACGGTCAGACGTGTCGACGATCGACACGGGAACAATACGATGCACACGCACCTGTGTGCGTAGTTCGTCCGTTTAGTCGACGAACTTGTTACCTTTGTGTTAAGGTGAAACGGAATAAAAATTAAGAGATAAATGACAAACAAACGAGCACACGCACGTAGAGCATGCCAGCTGCGACAGAAAACAAAGAAATACAACGAAAAATTAGGGAGAAACGATGTGAAAAACACTGGCGAAGAGCTTTTCTCGCTCCTCGGGAGGAAACTGAATCGAAACGAAACTAAAGATCTCTACGGAAAATCGTGCGGGAGGAACGTATGATTAAAAAAAAAACATTCCATGACGAGCTTGAACGAATTGGGCGAAACAAAAAAAAAAAAAAAAATTGATAAGAGGAAGCTGTTTACGATCAGGAAGAGATATAATAATGGGATGTTGAACGGGTTGAGTGTACAACTCACTCCTTGCACGACGGACCAGCACTCCTCGAAGGTGAGGTTGCCCATTCCTGCGCCTCCGCCGGCGCCTCCTGCACCTCCAAGTCCCGCCGCAGAGGCACGAGACTATCGGGGCAAGACAGGAGGCTCGTGTTAGTTTACTTTCCTTTGCCCTTTCATCTAACCAGCAATACTACAAAATCCTTTTCTTTCCACACAGAGTGATTCTAAAAATTCATATTTCGATACCTTGGTCCTGAGGGTATTTCAAAAGAGAGCTATTATAATCTATTTTCTAGAATCACCCTGTGCAACATGGAAAACATAGAAAATCTGTTGAAATAATCCGTGCAAGAAACGAAACGAGAAGAAAAAAAAAAAAAAAAAAAAAAAAAAATAAGCAGAAAGGTTCGGGTTCCTATTAGCGGTGAGAGCGAAGCAGATTCGCAGGGATATATTTACTTAGTTTCCTCGTATCGAAGCTCGCGGACTGTGGCATCGCAGAAGCACGCCGCGATATTTTCTCGAGAACATCTTCTCGGCGTACCGTATGACGTATGCGTATAGTATTATCTGTGTTGCGCGGGTCAAGAACCCCGAGAGACGACGTATCTGCATCTGGTCGCATCGGTGTGCGTGGGCCGCGTTTGCATTTGTGGCCCGGTGACTCGAACGTGTGCGTGCGTGGCTGGCTGTTTGCGCGCGTGTAACATTCACTCTCTCTTGCACTCGATCTCTCTCTCTTTCTCTTTCTCGCTCACTCTCGCTCTCTTGCTCGTTTAGTTGCATGCGTGTACGTATACGTGTATGCGTGTAGGTTTCAGCGAAACTCGGTGTATGGGTGGACGTGAACGGGTACGCGTACGCGCCGAGTCCAAGTACGCGATGTGGTAAGTCAACGTATTCCGATGTGCGTGAACCATGGTCAGTGTATCTCTCGGTACAGTCGTAGATTCAAACAGTCAGCGAAATTGTCGACGATGTAACGCGATTTATCGAATGTCATCCAGTTAAGCCGATACGCCACGTTTTGCCAGCTTTTTCTTTCCTCCCTGACGCGACGCGATCGCTGGATCATCATTCAGCTTGATAGCATTTCTTTTTACTCTCTTTTCGGAAATCTACGATCGACTCGAGATCATATTCGAACCGTTTGCGTTCAGATAGCGTTCAGATAGCGTTCGTGAAGGCAAAGTTTTTGGAAAAAGGGAGGACAGATGTTTTTCTACGTTCGCAGAAAATGCTTGAAAGTATTGTCCGGCGTCGGTCGGCCTAAGTGAATGACCCTATTTATCGACGCATTATGCACTTTTATCGCGGTCGCCTCGTCCCAGTTATTTATCTCTTCTCTCCGCCGCTACGGAGGAGAGAAATATAACCGAGATCGGAAAAAATAACAGCGAGAGAGAAAAAAAAAAAGGAGAAGCTGATAGTGATTTGCATAGATGGATCGTAGACGTATGCTCACCTGTAACTCGTTGACGAGCTTCTCCGTCAGGCTGATGTCGTGGGAGTCCTGGCTGGTAGCACCGGGACTGAGCATCGAGTTCTGGGAGTTTTGTTGTTGATTGGACATCTTCATCCCGGCGAGTGCACCGTTTTGAGCGATGCTGCCGGACATGTTCAGCGCCTGTTGTTGCAGGTTTTGCGTGAGATTTTGAGCCTGCTGCTGCAAATTTTGCGTGAGATTTTGAGCCGCTTGTTGCTGCAGCGCCTGTTGGCTGAGGCTTTGGCCAAGGTTCTGTGTCAAATTCTGCGCTTGTTGTTGCAGCGTTTGCGACAGGTTCTGCGCCTGACTCTGGATGTTCTGTTGCAGGTTCTGGCTGGTCTGGCTAAGGTTTTGCGGTTGATTGAGCAGCTGTTGTTGTTGCTGCGGCGACAAACTCGGCGTGAGGTTCTGCGCGAGATTGTGCTGTAAAGTTTGGCCCAGGTTCTGTTGCATGTTCTGCGTCAAGGCTTGAGTCAACGCCTGTCCCAAATTTTGGTTGAGCGCCTGGGCCGCTTGAGCGGCCTGGACCGCCTGAACGGCCAGCGACGGACTCGAGGCCTGCGACATGGTCTGTTGTGCCTGCGCCAGGCTGTGAAGACTTTGGGCCATGCTGGACGCGATTGCACCCTGGTGGTCAGCCTGTGGCGACGGCGTCGTCGGCGCCGGGGACGATTGATGCTGGCCTCCTTGAGCCGTTTGTTGGTTCATGGACATGGCGTGCTGTTGTTGTTGCATCTGCTGTTGCGGACTGGCGGTCTGTCCTAATCCCGAGTTGCCAGTCTGTTGCACCTGCGAGACGTTTGTCTGTTGCTGCTGGTGTTGCTGCTGCTGTTGCTGTTGTTGTTGGCCGAGAGGACTGTGCATTTGTTGCACTTGTTGTTGGTGCTGTTGTTGTTGAGTCGAATTGGAGATAGGGCTGTGTTGTATCCCCGGCGAATGCTGAGGCGGGCCCCGTTGCGGCTGTTGCCAATAGTCGGACATCTTGAAGACGTGTTGTCGCAAGACGTGAAGGTTAGCGGCCGCCGTGACGGCCGAGGATTGAACCTCCATGGGTTCCGGTTCGTTGTCGAGGTCAGGTTCGGGCGAGCTACAAGGATCCTCGTCCTCCTCGTCGTCCTCCCTCTCGGTGATATCCTCGTCGTCCTCTTCCTGGATTTTGATGGATCTCGATGGATCGAGGGTCTCGTTGCCGACCGTTCCTCCTCCACCAACACCAGCAACACCACCGCCGCTTCCACCGCCGCCGTTTCCGCCACCGCCACCGCCACCACCACCGCCACCTCCAACGGCTCCACCGCCACCTCCTCCACCTCCTATCCCACCCCCCGAATCGCCAGAGTGGAGATGATTTCCGGGGTGATGCTGATGATGATGATGCTGCTGAAGGTGATGGTGTGGACGCGACTCTGGATTTTGGCTTTGCTGCTGTTGATGTTGTTGCTGCTGGTGATGATGGTGATGCTGCTGCTGTTGCTGCTGTTGGTGTTGCTGCTGCTGCTGTTGTTGTTGTTGCTGCTGCTGCTGTTGTTGATGGTGATGCTGTTGCTGGTGGTGGTCCAAGCCAAAGTCGGATTGGGTTTGCGTCTGGGCACGTAGGTCCAGGGCCGCCGTCGCGTCCGAAATTTTGAGGCCTTCGCGAGAAGCCCGGGCTACCCCCTTCCGGCGCAGCTTGCCCGCTTTTTCGCAACCCTTTCGGTAAGCAGCTCGACGGCCGGCACACTTCCGCGCTTGCCGCCGTTCCTTCCTACCTTGCTACCCGCTTTATCCTGCTCTCCTTAGCCCAGGATCGTCCAAAGGACAACGATCCTCGCTCGACGTGGGCGGCGGGCAACGTCAGTTACTCGCCACCTGCTTTGACTTTCCGGGCCTGCTGCTGCTGCTGCTTCTGCTTCTGTTGTTCACTAACGCTGCTTGCTGGCTCATCAAACTCTTTCCTTCGATACACCGCTGTTCTCGTTTTTCGTCCCTTCCTCTCCTACGTCTCTTTCTTCGAATTTGTTGTCCGAGCAGCTTCTCCCCGGCTTCTATCCTCGATTTATTGGTATTTGTCGGAATCGCGTAGCGTAAACCACGGTTCTTCTTCTTCCACCTTTGCCGATCTTTGAAACTCGTCTCCCGTAACTCGATCACCGATCGCTCATGGAATCTTTACTGCTCGATCGTGTGCGTGCGTACGTATTCGCGGTTCGGTGTTTCCCGCTTGCTGTCTCTTCAACTTTTCGTCCTCCTCTCTCTTTTCACTCTTCGTTCAACTCCTCCTTCCTCTGGTCTGTATTCGCGTCGATACGTAGCGATTGTTTCTCGCGTGTAAGTGTCGTGTATGACCCTGTGTCTGTGTATGTGCGTGATTGCGTATTTGTGCGTGTCGTCTGCTCGATGAATCAGTGCGCGCGCGAATTGGACGTCCTCCTTTTGCGCGGAGAACAGCCGATTTCTTTCTTCTATCTAACTTAAAGTCTATCGTACACTTAAGTTCAGGTTAAAATTCAGGATTGCCCAGCCCGGACGGTGTGAACGAGAAGGACAGTCCGTTCAGACGCGAATTCGTTCGGTTCGAAGTAAGTCGTCGTTGGCCGTTTAAGTGCTGGCGGGTGGTGAAATCTCACTCGCGGATTGATGATACTGCTCGTCCCGTTTTGCCCTGAGTAGTTAGTAGCCCCGTTATGTCGATGTACGTGTGTGTGTGTACGTGTGTGAGTGTACGCGAACGTGCAAGCCCTCGGTCGAAAGCGTGAAAAAGGAAGGACTCGCGCGTTCACTGTGTACCAATGATAGGTCGTGTGATTTCTTCGAACCGGGACGACAGTTCTTCTTCTCACGGGATTTCGGTCACTCCGTCCGCACTCTTCTCGCGCGTGTATCTGTGTGTGTGAATTCACGTCGACGAAGTCGCTGCTTCTTCCGCTGCCACTTCCTCTCGACGACTACGACTTTTTCCCTTCGTCGAACGTCGGTATTTTCGCGTCCGTTCACGACTCCTCCTCGAAATGCGACTCTAGGGTTTTTTTTTTTTCTTTCTTTAACTCTTTAAAAGGAATTCTATTCGATTATCGATTTAACCGCTCGCCGTTACCGATATATCGTCGATGGTAGTTGTGGTTGCTTCTTATTATCGTTTAGGTTTATTAATATTGCACTTAGGTACACTCGTTTTTTGAACACACTGAAATATATATGTATGCGGCGCGAGGTTTCTCTCTAACGAGCTGCTGCTGCTGCTGCTTCTTCTTCGTCTTCTTCTTCCCCTTTTCCTTTGTCCTTTCTTTATTCCTTTCTTCAACTGATTTCCTCTTGCTTCTTGTAACGTTCACTTCTATCTTTATTCCAGATCTTCTTCTTCTTCTTCTTCTTCTCTTCGTTCACTCGTTCTCTTTTTTTCCCTTGCTCTCTTCTTCGCTATCAAATCACTTCCGTCGCAACCCCGCTTCTACGCGTCTCGCTTTCGCTCTTCTTTTACTCTTGTGTTCCTCCGCTTCTTCTGCTTTGCTCGTCTTATTCTGCTTCTTCCGCTTTGTCCAGTCTTCCTCTCCTGCGCGGGAATCTCTTGCTGCAACGCGTCTCCCGCTTGAAGCTGCAATTCAGAAAGAAAACGCTATTTTTATGCCGCTCCTTTCTCACTAACTTTACTCGACGAACCGGCACAAGTTGTCACTCGATCTAGCGACGCGGCTCGAATCATGCAACGCGAATTAATCTAAAGTTTCTAAGCGGAAGGGTTACAGGCCGTCGTCAACCTCTCACTAAACACGATCTCGGAAAATAATCGTTTTGGTCGAACACACGTATTTTCACACACTGCAAACTATTTTTCGTTCCTTCGTTCGCGAACGATCGCTATTCCGGATAAAAGGTTGAAAACGAAACGAACAATGATCGGAGAAGACGAGGGATAGGGTTTTGGATCACAAGACTAGAAACGTATCACTGTAACCGGTCCAGGTTGAAAATCACTAAACTAAGCTTGAATTTCTAATCACGATTCGTTTATTCCAGTTGCTGATAATTAACTCCTGAGAACACGTGAGTCGCGAAACGTTTTGCCGTCGCGTCACACTCGGCTACCGGTTGAGGAAACCCGAACGTGTCGCGATAGAATAGTGGACATCGCACCTTCGCGATTGTCTGGTAGACTTTCGAAGGGAAAGGAATCGTCTAAAATCAGGGAATCGAAACTGATCTCCGAATGATCGCGATTTTCAGTCTTGTCGTGTTGCAACACAGGTTTTCACGCACAGAGACAACGAGGAAACACTGTTATTTTGATCGATTGAAACGATTCTGACGAACTATTAGCGATTCGACGAATGCTTCCATTTGCCGAGATACGTTTTTAATTCCTTTAATTAAAACGCGACACCGAATCGCGTGGGTGACACGTTCCGCGGAGGCATTCCTTCCTCGAGGAATTTATATTTCCACAACGTGGGACGTTACGAAAAGACGAGGAGAAATTGTTAATAAAATCGTGATTCGTCAGTGTGTCGAGTGGAAAACCGTATTCCTCGTCAGCTTGCAACCGATCACCCGTATCGTATTTGACATCGAAAATTTCGCTCAACATCGACACTCGTCGCCGGTCGCGTGAGGATCTCGCGGGATCTTGATTTTCGCGAACGAATCTGTCAAACTTTCAGCAAATCCATGGACGAACGGTAAACGAATGCGACGATTCCTTGGCGTACTTTTTTCCGTCCGTCGTGTGGTGCGTTAACGGGCCACTCCATATCCGGCCTGGAAGCGAGATCGTGAAAGGATCGAGTCGTTGACGATCGCGACGAAACACTGTAGACGACGATGACGTGTACCGGGCATGTCAGAGAACTCGGATGGAGGGGGTGGATCAGCGGTGGTTGGCCGAAAGAGGGGAAAACTGACCAAAATCACGAAGGAAAAAAGAGAAAAGATCGCGAGGACCGTCCGTATACCGAGCGGTTGATCACTTTATTCAAAGTCCCACGGTGGATCGAGAACACTGTCGGAACACGAGGCAAAGGAAGCACGGAAATCGAAGAAAAAATCCTGTATCCCTTACGTTCCCGAGCGGATCGAAGGATCTCTCTTGGAGAGAGAAGCGACGATAGCTGATCGAAGAAGTCGACGATCGTGTAAACGCACTTGACCGACAGAAGTATCTTCTCAGAATCGAGCGTGCAAAGTGTGTCTGTCAGACAAGAAGATGATGATGCGTTGTTCCAGTATCCCGTAGCAGTCGCGAAGACGAAGGAGCAGCACGACGACGATGATAAGTACAACTACGACGACGACGATTCACGACGGCGAGTATACAACAACGGCGCGTGTACGATCGAGGAAAAAGCTCTTTCCTCTTCCGCGTTCTCGAGTCCTTGACGGAGGAGGAACCGAAACTGACTCGGGTCTGCGGCTCGCGAGAAACGCTAAGTCCTTCTCCGTCGGGGGCCGGTGGTGGCGCGCTTCTCAGACCGCGTGCGTCTGACTAAAAGCCACCCCCTCGTGCCTTAAAGAACGCGTGTTCGGGTAGGGGCGTTGTCTTAGGTGGTGCGCGGTCGCGAAATTTCTGGCTGCCTCCGTCTCCCTTTGCCGGCTCCCTTTTCCGCCTAAGAGGCTCGCGAGCCAGGGTCCTTCGGACCTGGGCCCCGGCCCAGGTCACCCTCGACCGACGTCCGACACTTGACCGGTCCTCCCACGACCAAAATCTACCTCGCAGAGGACGAAAAACTGAGCCTGCCCTAGGACAGCAGTTTTCAAGCTACCCCTCTTTTCCTTTGACCCCACCAGACCTACGACGAGGCGCGAGGCGCGAGGCGCGCGCTCTGTCTTCTCCCCCTTTTCCTCAACGCTCGACCACCCCTCTTGCCCCGTTCCTTCGGACCAAGCTCCTCATCGTGGGTGGGGGACACTATGCTGCCGACTCCGTCGACGTCTCCGACGGGGGTAGCCTTTCTAAAGGGATGAGAAAGACGACCAGTGGTGGGGTTGCCATTCTCTCTTTCTCCCTTTTCCTCTTTTTCACCACCTTCCTTACTCCACCAGACACTCTTTCTCCCTCTCTTTCTATCTGTCTATCTATCTATCTATCTATCTCTCTCTCTCTATCATAACGCTAAAGGAAACCCAGCGGAAAAGCAGGGTGCAAGAACTCTGACCATCTTTCTCTATGTACCTGGATCGCCGATACCACCCTCCGTCTTTCCTTACGGACCTTTGCCTTCCTACGCCAATATAAACAGGCGCGCGCTTATTTTTCTTCTCTTTTCACCGAGATCGCCCTTGAAATTTTCTTCTCCAACTTCTTAAGAATATCTATCCGATACACATCACTTTGACGTTTTTCTTCTACCGAAGGTTTCCCGTCCGTTCGCACGCGACGTGCGAACGTCGCGAACCGATGAATTCGACTGACCGAAAAATTGTTGTCGGCGGCTCTTGTAAGGGGGTGTAGCGGCAGTCTGAGGTACGAATAAAAAGAAGGGGACCGTCGTATAAAAATGGCCTCCTCCCTTATGCTCCGTATGGCCACACACGCGTGACTAACTAAAACGAGGGGGAGTGGGACGAGCTTTCTTTTTTTCTATCCCTTCCCACTAGGTCGACCCTTCGAATCGAAACGTTTTCTTCGTACAACGTCAAACAGTTTCTCTCGTAATCACCGATCGTCTCGATTCGAATCTTGCGACCTTTCTCCCAAGAATGCTCGAAGAGGGAAGCTTGTTTCCGTTTGCTCGAGATCTCGATCGAAAGATAGATCGTCGACCTCGAGAAGGACGTCGACTTTTCAACGGACGCGACGATGTTCATTTTATAGTCGAGGGTGGTCGATGGTCATCCTACTCGTCTTACGCACCCTCCTCGTCAAATAGACGAGCTACCCTTCTCTCTTCTTCTCGCCCCTTCTCCGCGGCCATCTAACGTGTCTACTACCCCACCACCGTAGTAGCTTTACATCCCTTCCTGCCTCGACAAAGTCTTTCCCCTCTACCGCTTCTTCTCTCGCTCGTACTCTCGCACCATCAACCTTCCACCCTCTGCGAATCCTTCCTTTTCTCAACCCGCTTTTCCCTTCCTTCGTTCCACTACTTTCACGTCTCCCACCACCGGAGCCAACGACCCCCCACGCGCCGCTTTTTTACGTTGCTCTCGTCCTTTTTTCCACGTGTACGCCACGTGGAAGTGTGAGTCCGGAGGGCGGAGAAGCGCACCCTCTTTTTTTCCGCCACAACCCCCACCCTCGTTCTGTACACGACGCTCACCCTCCGCGACTACCTGCCACGAGGCGCTTTCCACGCTTCAGGTGGACGAGTTCTCGCAAAGAAGGCAGTCCAACCGTGGATGTTGATTCTTTGTCCCTTTACTACCCTTGCGCGACACGCGCGTTCAAACGGCAATCCACGCGTGACGGTCACCCTCGATGGACCGATTTCTCGGCCGGTGACAAAAGCACCGTGTATAACGTAGGGGGATGGAAAGAAGAAGACGCAGGCAGAGGAGTCGGGAAACACATTTGTTCGAGAATGTCGGCGCACGCCTACCCCGACGATCTATCTACCGGCGAATCTGACAGATGTCTGTAACCGCACTCGCATTTTTCGATCACGCATCTGCATAAACACGCGAAAGAACGGCGCGGGGGAGTGCAGTATAAAGAAGGGCTCCTGTACCACGATCACGATCGAACTTCCGGCCGCGACAGCCTGTTACCGTGGTAGAAATTTCAGCGTGCAACAATGATATATTCCGTTCGCGAGTACCGTAAACTGATGGAACGACAAATTAGATCTGTCGCAAATAACAGGATACCAGGCCCGAGGTTATTTTAGCAAGTGTATCTGGCGAGTTTAACAACGGGAAAAATACGGACGAATTTATGGGTTACGGCGATAAGTGCGGAGGGGCGAGGTGGCCAGAGGGGAGGAAAGAACGCATTGGGCAATCGAGGCTCGTTTTAAATTACAAATGAACCGGCAGGGTAAAAACAGGTGAGAGTCGAGGCTCTTTCAGGAAGGGTGGGTGGATCGCGGAGCTGCATGCGCACATATGCACCGGTTAGCGTACACACGGGCCCGGCCAGCGAACGACCAATTGCACCTACGTACGCGCACACGTTCATGTAACATTTTAGATCCCGATCCCGATCCCGATTCCCCCGATCCCGCTCGGCAGCTGGAACATCGACGAAACTAACCGACACAAGAGGAAGAGGAGGAGGTGGAGGAGGATACTCGACTCGGTGCGTACGATCGTCGTACACGTGCACTTACATCTTGGCGGCCAGTTGTGCCATGCCGGCGCGATTCAACTCTCCTTCCCTCTCTCTCTCTCTCTCTCCCACCCTCCCTCAATCTTCTCTCTTATACCTTTTTCTCTCCGTCTGCGAATCGACTCGATCGACTCCGCTGATAGAACGCTCCGCGTACGGCTTTGCGTAGGAAGACATTTGTCTTCTGACCCCGATCCTGCTTTCTTTCTTTCGATTGTCCGACTTCTCGGCCAAAACCAGACAGACCCTCCACCCGCTCGCTGTTCAAACCGTCTACTTCTTCAATTGCCAACCGCGGGCGCGTTTTCTCGATACCCTTTCAGCATCGCGAGCCA